GAATGTTGAGTAAGACTTGATGTACATGATGATGTATCTTCAGTATCTAATGAAACCATTTGAAAACTAGCTTGTGACATTCCATCAATAAGACGTGGTGGGCGTTGACGTTTTGTACCTTGTACAGATGATGAACCAGCTGAAGATGTTGTACTAGGTCGATTATGTCGAAGAAGACGAGCTTTTATCATTGATGATGTTATTGAACCACCACTAAAACGTTGCAAAGAAGCAAAATGTTGAGCTGATGAAACTTGATCATCAACAAGTAAAAGTTGTTGATGACGTGACATTAAATTTGGTGCTGTTGTTTGTCCATATAATTGTTCAAGACCAGGATAATATCGTCTAAGATTAGTAAATTGTGGATAATAATGTTGATGTTTTGTTAACATTGGTGTATTTTCTGTAATATTAATAGCTGATGTACAACGTATTGGTGTTGTTGAATGATGATCATTATCAAGAGCTGTTGATGAAGTTGTAATTGCAATCCAATCTTTAATACGTTGACATGTTTTGTCAAATGTTAATGATGGTGTTGATCGTTGAAAATTATTCTTTGGAGTATTTGGAATACTTTCATGTGTAACAAGAAGATTGGGAATCGGTAGGTTTGTTATTGTTGTTTTATCATCATTCGAATCAAATGTTGATAAACGAATATCAGCACTATGTCTTTAAAAAAGAAAGTCAAAATAGAATATTTCTATGATGATTAACTTACGATCGTTGACGTTTTTTTGGATCAATTGTAAGCAATGATTTTGGAATAATAATTGGTTGATTAACACTTGTTTCAGCAAGTAATTGATCTATTGTTGGTGTATCATATTCACTGGGTTCTGCTGTTGTTCCTGGAACAGAAAGTGAAGGACGTTTACTTGCTAAATTATCATTATTCATTGATGCAGATAATTGAGCAGTTAAATTAGCTAATTCTTCACTTATTTTTGCTGAATCTCGACGAATTTGTAAAAGTGTATGAATAGATGAACTTCGTCGTTGATCATTATGAATACATTCAACATCGAGTAATGGTGTACAAGAATGAGAACGTTTTGTATGTGCTTGTAAATTATTTGAACAATTTGGATTTAAATGTTGATCTGGTGATTGTTTAGCTAAAACAAAAAAGGAAGCCAACAGAATTCATTTGTGATTGGTGTTATTAATAGTTAGAAATACGATAATGAAAAAAAAATAGATTTTTTTTTTTTTTTTTTTTTTAAAAAAATCGATTCCATTAAGTACATAATATGTATTGATTTCTGATGGGTTATTTTGTGCTTCTTCTTACTGAATTTCTCTGGTAATTGTTTAAGTTGTTTGTCAGTGTTTTTTTGCCAATTGATAGATGATGATGATTTTGAAGATTCACTTAAACGTTGACTTGATGTAAATCGAGGTTTTGGTGTATGTACAGGTGTACGTAATGATGATGCACGTCTTAGTGCATAATTTATAGGTATTTTCTTAGTTAATATTTGAGTTTCTTGATCAGGTATAATTGATGTTGTTTTTTCAACAGATGATATTTCAACATTATTAACAGCTCGTTTCCATCGAACGGCCATTGCAGCTATATTAATAACAGCATGAATTTTTTTTCGACCCTTATAACGTTTTTTTTTTGTTGTATGAGCTTGGCGTAATGCAGTCATTGTTAATGCATATGTAACAATCATAATAATTAATGGAATAAAAAAAGCAACAAATGAACCATAAAGTTTAAATATACGATTCGATGGAAAACATGCACGTGCTTTTTCATCATATACATTTGTCGAATCAACAATACTTAGAATAAATAATGGTAAACATATGGCAAATGATATCAACCAAATAGTTATTATTTTATAAGCCATTAAACTTCGTCGTTTATTTCGTCCATATTTTAATGGATATCTTAATGTAAGATAACGATCAAGTGACATAACACTAAGAGATTATAATTTAAAAAAAAACAAAAAACAAAGGAATATATTTAAATAATCAAGAAAAAAAAATCTTTCATATTACCTCATATGCCAAATAGATGATGTACAACAACAAACATCAAATGTTGACCAAACATTACAAGCTAATGCATCAAATGGAAAATGTCCAATAAATTCAACAGTAACAGCTAATGGCATAACAAGACATGCTACAAGACAATCAGTAAATGCAAGGGATGTTAAAAAATAATTTGTTGTATTTTGTAAATTTCTTTCACGTATAACAGCAATACAAACAAGACTATTACCACTAATAGTGAATATAATAACTAAAAGAAATTAATTTCAATAGATCATTAAAATTCTCTATTGTGAAACTTAGATTCTGTTATATCATTTTTTTTTACAATAAATATGAATATGAAAAATAATCTCTAGTTTAAAAAGTTTTTCATATTAGAGCGTAGGCGTATACACATAATAGATATCTTTACAAAATCTTATTAATCAATGCATGATATTGTTAACCTTAAAAATTTGTTTCTTTTTCTTGTTCATTCATTCTATTCATAGATAATAAAGAATACTTATGCTTTAAGTCTTGCCTGATCTATAATGAAGTTCACAAACTTCAATATAAGATTTCCGATGTAAGTTTATGTTTCTTTTCAAATATAAGTTTTCTTGAATTCTTTTTGTTTTCTTTTGTTAGATATTCACAATAAACTTTTCATCTTATTCTAATCTATAAATAGAATTTTCATTTCAATAACACACACGATCTTTTGTTTTTCAAGATATTTGCATGTGACATTTCTTTATCTATTGATATTTAGAATCATTAATTATTTTTATATTATAGCATTCTCATAGAATCTAAAAATACTTAACTAATATTATTAACCTCTATAAATCACTGAACTCTGATTATATGCAACATGAAATCATATGAATAAATTTTTGAATAAGCACTCAATCTATTCAAGAACAATTCTATTACTTACTGCTAATCAATGATAAACTAACCCATATTGGTTTAAATTCTTGTGAAAAATCTGAATAATTATTATAATCATGATTAAATTGTATTAAATATTTTGTTTTATTGTTATTATTTATAGCAGATGAAACCCAATGATTTGTAGTAATTACCATAGTTAGTTTTTCTAGAAGACACAAGAAAAAAAAAAAGAAGAATCTATGAATAGATACAATTATAAAGTAAAATTTAGAAGAAATAATATTAGAAAACCTTTTAATGTCACAATATTCATGTCAAAATCAACTCTTCCTTCATTAACTCGAATAATAGAAAGAGAAAACATTAAAGAGGCACAGACAAGAGGACAAAAGTGAAAGAAAAAATTCGAATAGAAATTTTTTTGTTTTTTTCCCTTGTGTTCCGAAATGATTGTTATTTACACTCTCAGTTTTAGTAATATAGGTTTTTTTTCCGATGATTAACTATTGCATGCATACTAAGAATTTCCTAATCGTCGTTTATACTTCGTTGCTTGAATAGAAAAAAAAATACGTGATAACGTGCCGTTGCCCAATATATCACATCATTGATCGTGCCTAGCCAGTGTCAAGGACATTTGCCGATAGCAGCACATATATCGAAACATTGGCAAATCATTTTCTATCTTCTCTCTTTCATTCCAATACAAAAACAAGAGACATAGCGAGTAAGAGAGCACAATGAATGATTCTTTTCTTCAACAGAGAGAGAAAAAAAACAGAGAAAGAAAAAAAAAAGCAGAACTTGAAAAATGAGATTTCATTAATAGCACTTGCTAAACAAACGAGAATGTTAGCGTGCACATATAGGCACTTGCCAGCTAATCTTATTTCTGTTACTATCATCGAGAATCGAACGAAGAAAGATGATACTCAGAATAAAAAAAAAAAAAAAAAAAAAAGAGAGAAGACAAAATATGGATATATATTCCCATACTCAATTTTCTCGGCTATCTTATGCAACTGTTCAGCCGTGACATACTCAAAAATCTAGCATTCGATCGTACAATAGAATAACGAAAAACAGCTGATTAATTCATTTATCGAGATTATTTTTTTTCCGAAAAATTCATTTGTATGCCACATCATTGTTAATTATGTATTCAATATTGCCTAAGGACAACAAAAAGACGCGAAAATAAAAAAAAATCAATAATCTTTACGATTTTCAGCATACATATTGTATTTGATAAATAACATACAAATTTTTATCTACAATTGTAAATGTCAATTGTATACTCATTATATAAAATAAAACTCTTAAATAATTAAAGCTGTGAGATAAAATATGATTTATGTGTTAAATAGAAATAGATCTATATGTATATAGTAAAAAGAGAGAGAGAGATGAAATGTACTCGCTGCATTTCTATTGTCTCTTTACATCAGCTAATCCCTGAAGACGACAGTAAATTTATTGACGAAGGCAAAAAATGAATCTCATCGTTTATATAAAAAGAAACTGACTATTGCTTCCTTGTTTCCTTAGCCTACTTTTTTTAATGGTGTACTATATTGATGCGTTTATAAATATATATATATATATATAAAAGATATGCGCAAGTTATGAATTGAAGAAGGATCGTGTGACAATTAAAGACAAAAAATCATGATGATTGTCGTGACTGATAATGAACACTCTGTTGCATCTGAATACATTTTGAACTGACAATAACATTGCCATGTTCAATGACAGATCATGAAAATGATGAAAACTAAAACGCAAAATGCAAAAAATAGAAACGTTCCAATAATGAAAAAATCAATTTTGATAAGAAAGTCTGTTAGAATAAACAGAAAGAGTGTTCTAAATGACATTGACAATAATCATATGAATAGAACTGGAATATTTCTATAAAAAATGTTAAATATTTATTGTTAATCTATATCTTAATCGAGCAGATAATGAAAAAAATATGTAATTCTTTTTCGTTTATATTCAAAATATTCAATCGAAAAAGAAAATCATTATTGTAGTAGAAGTATTAAATTATCATTGATATCTCGCGGCTAATGTATGAGAAAATGAGGGTAAAAAAAAAAAGTCTAAAAACTCATCAATATCAATAGAAAAGAAAAAGCATAATAGACATGCTACATTACCCAAAGAAAAGCGAGTTATTCTAATAGTAAGAGATGCTCAAATGCACATGTGAAGGTGAATGAGCAAAAAAAACGACATTAGAAATCGTATAGTGCTTGTGTCAGTTGCTTTCTTTTTTTTTTCTCATCTCACTGTTGCCGATCCTCAAATTCTAAGCATACACTCACGTAACAGGCACACCTACGCGTCAAATTTCCATTTCCTTTCTTTGATGAAGTAGAAATATATATTCCTAACTGACAATGATGAGCTATTTTCCTTCTCAATTATTTTTTTTTTTTTATATGGATTCTTATTTTTGTGATTACATACATTATTCACTAAGAATTGTTTTCATGACTTTTTATCTTCTTCATATTTCACACAAGAAAGCAAACAATTATTGCATGACATGTACAATAAAATTACTTGTATAGGATTGATACAGACATAAATCATAATTTTAAGTTCATATACTATCTAGAAAAGAAAGGCAATAATTAGCTTTTTAATGTTGTCAAGCATAAAAAGAAATAATCTGTTATTTACGGAGCAGAATAAGGTCATACTTTTGAACTTTATGATGATTAGTGAAGTGTTCTTTATTATCTTACATATTATAATACGAAAATTTTATATGAAGAATTCTAAAAGAATAAAATATTATTTTTGTTACGATAGAAAAAAAAAACATCAGTTTCTTCTTGATAGTAATTATTGTCACTAGAAAATAATTATATTTAACGAGTACGTATAAGAGGACCAACAAGTGTTTGTCCAGTTAAATTTATAATTGGTCGAAAAGGTGGTCCCGTTGGTTCACTCATTCGATAATAATCTGGTGCTACATTTGGTGCTGGTAATGCTGATATAGCTCGAGTAATAGATGGTTGTGGAAGTGAACTTACACTCACAATTCGTGCTACAAGATGTCCAGAAGATCGCGGTACCTGTTGAGTAAGATATTGTGAAAGTAAAGTTGGCATTGCTTGGCTAGGATATGACCAATCTGGATATGGATCAGGCCTAATAACATTGTTACCAAGTCCTGCAGGTGGTCCCATTCCATATGGTAAGTTTGCCACAGGTGGTCTCACTCCATATGGTGCATTCACATAAGGTGGTCCAGGTAAAACATTATATGGTCCAAGTATTTTTTTACCACCGGTTGCTTTTTTACTTGCACCCGAGAATATATTACCATAACCACAACGTTGATAAAGAAAAGCAGCAGCTAGAAAGAAAAGTATTGAGAGAAATTCAAGTACAATAGTTGGTACCATAAGCCAAAATCCATAACGTTTATTATATACTACATCACCTTGTGCTATAGATAAATTATTTGATTCTCGACCAAATATCGGCAAACCAATAACAAGAAAAATAAATGAAATAAGTGCAAACAATCCAGCTAAATAAGCGATAAGAGGTAAAATAGTAGCTAATACTGCAATTGCAAGGCCTAACGAAAGAAGTATCATTCCAACAGTTATAAGACCTTCAGAAGTACGAATAAAATGTGGACGACTTCCACCAAATAATATATTTTCAGCTGTTGACCAACTATTACAAACTGTACCAAATGTTGTAACTTGTTCTTGACAATAAGCCCATAAACCATAAAATTCTACGATAGAATTAGTATAAAGTTGAAAACTATGCCAATCAGGCACACCAAAACCGATCCATCCTTGAAAAAAAAAAAAAAAATTTCTTTTGTAATTATCAATGACCCTTTCTTTTTTCTTTAATTCATACCAAGAATAAAAGCAACTAATGATAGAATAATTCCAGTAATCAATAAAAATTTCCAAATTTGACAACGATCCATTCGTTAGTACAACGTACTAATAATGTTAAAAATAAAAGAGTTCTATAAGGTATTGTTTTATGGTAGGCTTCGTTTTTTGTTTTTTTTTTACTTTTGCTTTCAGTAGTGAGAAAAGTACGGTATGATGTTAGAATGAATGACATTGTATTATAAAAAACACACCTTGAGAAAGACATCATAGACAACTTGTTTTTTAATTATTCATGCATAGCATAAAATATCGTAAATAAAGACAAAATAAAATATTGAACAATCTTAGAATTTTAATAAATAAAATGAAGAAAAACGATAATAATTGATTAGCTTAATTTCTTATTATAGATGTTCACTTGGAAAATGAATAATATTCTTGAATCATTATTATATATTATTCTATAGAAAGAATATAACCTTGAAAAATCAATTTCTTTTATTGATAACCTTGGACAAAAGAAAATGCACTATATTCTATTGCTAATGCATAAGTCACCTGTAGAACAAACAAGAAAAGTTAACATTTTTTGATAAATATTTCAAGAATATTATCAATATCAGTTTCATTCTAATGAAACGTGATATTAAATGTTTAAAAAAAGAAACTTTTTTTTTTTTGTTTTGTTCTATTTCGTTTTTTTAATTTTTACTTAATGGCATTTCGTCAACGACATTGACTTCATTAGACTACTCGTTTGTGATACAAGATGCATAACGAAATAAAAATGCGTGTACATGAAAATGCGTACACATTCTCTCTCGTTCTTATTAACAAGTGGAACAAATCAGACAATGACAATGAACAAAATAATGAATACATAAAAATGTACAAATTTAGTTTTTCTACTATAAACTTGTCTAATGAAGTCAACATCCTTGACAAAATATTACTAAATAAACATAAAATAACTAGTAAGAAAAGAATTTATATGATAACTATTTCATACATATAAATTAAAGTACTTTTAATCATGTTTTATTTAATAAAAGATGGTTTTCTTTTAATATATTTCTTCCTAAATGGTTCGATGATACCTTGTAAATATCTTTATATAGTTTAAAAATTGTTTCCAGATATTTAAAGTTATCCGAACCGAAACTAAAGATTATAGGTAAATGTTCTACGGTTGTTACTGAATTATAATATAAATCATGATTAAATTTTCTAACAGTTTTCTTTAAATTGAGACGGTCATTAAAAAAGAACATGATTCTACACATCTTTAGTGATCACAGATAATTTTCGAATACAATACTTAAAGATTTTATAAAAAATAACTAGAAGAAAATTTACTGATATATTTCATCTTGGAAAATTATGCTACCTACTTCTTATAATATTCATTTATAACATTTGGCTATTTTCGAATGCTAAAGACTTGCTTGCTGCATTTCAATTAATGTCATAGGCAATGAGAAAAAGCATTCTAGATGAAGAAAAATACCATTGACATTAGATAAAATGTATTTATATATATATATATATATAGTTATTGAATAATAACGATGTTGTAGGTAACAACACAATTTTGTTTTTTTTTTTTGACTAATTTGTATTAGTGCTTTGTGTACGCAAAAAGACTTAATAGTGTATCATATTATTTAAAGAATATAATTTGTTGCTTTTTTTTATTTATCATAATCATGCGTTAAGATCAAGGGGGGTAAATAATGAGCTGCAAGACTTCGAAAGACTTCATTGTAATAATTATTAACAGCTGCATTTCACTTCTCTTCTCAATATAACTTCCTATTCATATTGTTGACCTTGATAATATTTGTTTCTCCTTCTGTTCTATTTTTATGACTCGTATATAAGCGCATGGTTGTATTTTTTTTATAGATACGACTGGAGTAATGAAATAGTTCAATAAATATAATTATTGAAGATAGCGGATGGAAGTATTCCTCTCGTTCGTTACATTAACGAACTTCGCGAGACTTCATATTGAAGTTTTTGTTGTTTTCCGTTCTAAAGAAAGTCATCTTTGATTCTTTATAGAATTCGAATGAATTCAATAAAATCAACATGGAAGATGTTATTAGAGAGTTATAGTTAACATAAAATATATGTAATATTTTTGAACTTAATAATATCAGTAAAAATACATTGAACATAGATTCATATATTTATTCGATAATTTTGTTCATATGTAACATAAAAATTATTAATCTGAATATGAAAACAAAACAGTAAAATGTAATGAAGTTGATAATAAGTCTATTCGATGTAATCAAAGAAAATTAAAATTTTACAATGATAGTGTATCAACAAACTGGAGAAATAATTCACTGACATTCTTAGTAATGATATTTATTGAACTACTTTATGTCTCTTGTATGCGTCTATATCACATAGAGCATAACCATGTGTAGAAAATGAAGAACAATATTGCACACGAAAAAATGAGCAAAGAAAAGGACGTTAGACGGTGAGTCAAATAGAAGAAAGAATAAATGATCATATATCATATGCAAATGATATAATTATCGGTATACTCTCTCAAGCAGTCTAGACGCATCCCTGGGTATCTATACATTATAAAGAAGATCAAAAGACAGAAAAAAAAAGGTATCAAAGCAATAGAATATATCTTTGAGTTAAATACATATGCAATATGAAGAGTAATATATTTTAACATGCATTAACTTGTTAATAATAGCATTCATACAAAAGTATAAATCAGAGAAAAAAAAATGTATAATAGACATTAACCTTAAGAATATTTTTAGCATTGTTTTTGATCAAAATTTTATGTTTTATTTAGTAAAGAAATTCTTGTTCATTGACATGAATAATATAGTATTAAACATAAAATCTCCAGTGACAAAAAATTCTGCGACATTTTTCTTTCGAATACAAGTAGTACTTTTGATAAGACCATAAAAACTAAGTTTTCGAGATTATAGAAAATAGATTTTTTAATGCTCAAGACAAATCTCTGCTGGAAAAATGTTCGTAATCATCAAAAAGTGATTGTACAAGAAGAAAAATAAATGTATTTTCATTTCTTATTATTGTAGAACAGAATACATTCGACAAATGCAAAAGATGGTTTCAAATTTTTCTTTTTCACTATCACCTAGTGCATATTCTGTTCTTGAAAAACGAGCAAAAAAAAAACCATAATTTTCTCCTATTTTACAGTCGCTTTAGTACTGTTTGCTGCTGAAGATTTTATGTTTGATGCTATATTATTTGTGTCAGAGAAAGCTGAACATATGCTTCAAGTTAGAATCAATTTAAACACAAACTGTTAGGGAGATTGGTTTCAAATATCTCAAAACTTTTTGCTAGGACGGGTAATTGCAAAACAAATACCATAAACTAACAAATCAGTCTATATAGAACAGATTTTTTTATAGGAAATAAATATGAAGTCATAATTCCTTAATATCATATTTGTATTATTGAAAAATTCTTCTTTTAACAAAAGCTGTTGAGTGTTTTTTTTTTCTGTGGACAAATTTTGCAAAAATTACTCAGAAAGATTTCGCTCTTGTCGATTAATCATACATTCAATGTCGTTTCGGTTTATCGAGCAATATCATTTTTGTCCTATGTTGCTCAAAAGGACATCTGATAAACGACCAATACTCTGTGCCGTAAAATATTGTGTCTATTGGAAAGCAAACATAATAACAGTCAAAACGACGTTTATACATATTAATATGTAAATTGTGAAAAATATTTAATTAATAGTCAAAAATATGTTAAAAGAGTTTAAGATTAATAATTTCTTAACACGTTTAGATGTTTAAACGCTCAGAGTTGTTAAAGCTTTCAGCGTTTCAACACGTTTTTGGTGAGTAATTAAACATTTTTAATTATTTAGATAAATATACCTCGTAACAATTAAAAAACATGTCATGTAAATGATGAATTGACAAATGTGTTGGGTGACCTTAAAATGTCTTTTTTTTGCGTGTAACTTCACTATTGATTGACTTTTATTAACTGAGTTTTTTTTTTGCATGATAAGTAAAGACATCAAGTTTTTATTTCTATTGACAAACTATAAAAGTGCTCTTTAGAATGGATAACATTTTGATAGAAATTAGTTTTGATGTGTTCTCATAATAAGAAATCGAATTAATTTATCTTGGCTAAATGCAATTACTTCAAAGTGCACTTTTTAGAGTTTATCTATAGAACTAAAACTTTGATTATATTACCTCTCATATATGAAAACTAATAGTAATTCTCAGACTATCTACATTTTCTCTATCTTCCCTGACAAAAATGTACTCTATCTAATTTCATTTTTTTTTCACTTCCGATATTCTACTGGGTTGAAAAGTCTCAATTTTATTTTCTTGTTTCTCAGATGCTAGGTTGTTAAATTCTCAAATGTCATTTATAATAAATAGACACACATTAGTAAATTAATGATTATTTTCTTATTAGAAGATTTCTTTTTTTTTATTATAAAAAGAATTCAAATTTCATATGTAAAATAATTGATGAGTTAGATTGTCGGATGAATATCCGCAGTACTAAATAATATCTTTATTTGAATCAGTTTACAATATTAAAATTTAAAAATGAGATTTAATGAAAAGCAAAAACGATACTCTATAATCTTCTTCAGTGATAATATATTTTTTTGTTAACTGAGTCAGAGCCGGAAAATTTTCGAACCTGACAAGAAAAACAGAAAAATATTGTTTAAATGTGTGTTTTTTTTCTCGGAAAAAAAAGAAATGACAACATTTGCAACGATTTCGATCAGAGTTCTGGAAGATAAACTGTGAACAAGCACCTAAACGCAGTGATAACCATCTATTGCCTGCTTGGGTAATCTTGCTCATTGCAAATTCGATTGGCTTTAGCAATACCCTTGGCCATATAGTGCTATTCAAAAAACGGAATATTAGTAATAGTGAAAGTTGATGTGATACAAGTTCTGTGATTATATTAACACCTATGCCATCATTCACAAAAGTGAACTTAAAAAACATATTTAGATTGAAATAGAATTTTTTAATTTGAATTCTGTTTTGAAGAAAATACAACAAGCATTATC